CTGAGGGGAGACCTCATCACTCTCTACAGCTATCTGAAAGGACATTGTAGAGAGGTTGGTGCTGGTGCCTTCTCACAGGTGATTAGTGACAGAACAAGAGGGAATGGCTTTAAACTGCAACAGGGGAGGTTCAGACTGGACATTAGGAAACAAATTTTCACAGAGTGGACAGATAGTGGAATAGGCTGCCCAGGGAGGTGGTGTAGTCACCATCCCTGGATGTGTTTAAGGGTGGTTTCGATGAGATGTTGGGGGATATGGTGTAGGGGAGAACTTTGTAGAGTGAGGCTGATGGTTGGACTCGATGATCCCAAGGGTCTATTCCAACCCGAATGATTTTGTGATCTTCCATAACTAAGAAATATTTTCTGCTTTCTCTGGTACTATTTAAGACACCTAAATATTTCCTTATTTTTTGTGTGATCATTTAAAAAAACAGAACAAGACAAAACCAAAACCTATACTCAGCCTTGGTCTGTTAATAAGATGACAACATGAGTTCTTACCTAGTTGGAAATTAAGCTATATACGATACAACAAATGTGTATTTTATAATCTATCATAATTTTTAATAATCTCTAGTAATAAGTGAAATTATTAGAGATTGAATAACCCATCAGTAAGTAGGTCGTTCAGAGATATGAATGTGATCTTTGTCAGTGCTATCTCTAAAGCATGTAGGATAGAAAGGAAGGAATATAACAGAGGAGAACTGATGGGGAAAACTATTTTGCAAGCAATCACTTTTTGGTTTTATACATTCATAATTTTTCTTATTTCATGGAACCACAGAATGGTTGAGGTCATAAGGAACCTCTGGAGGTCATCTTGCCAACAACACTGTTCAGGAAAGATCACCTAGAGAAGGCTGCTCAGGACCATGTCCATCCACACTTCAAATGAAAAATAGTTAATTTCTAAAAGTTCAGAAATAAAAGACAAAGGGGATATTTGCCAAAGCTGTTCCTTTACTATTAATAATTTCATGGTATATTTTTCTAGAAAATGCTGATCATTACTGATGTTTATTTGTCACAAAACATAATGAAGCAAATGAGGCTTTAAATTATTTTAAATGTATTCTGAAATATATGTAAAATAACATTTCATTGGCATTTATCTTCTGTTTCTTTGAGATTATTTTTCATATACAGACTGCCTTGTTTTAGTGGACTAAAACAAGGAGTGGAAAATGGAATGGAAAATAAATGGAAATATTATCAGGTTTTTCACAAACTTGAAAAATAAGATAGGAGACATTTTGACCATATTTACACTAGAGCAAAATTTTTCTAGCTTTCATTCAAAATGATATGTGATTAGTTCTGTTGACTTTGAAAAAAAATCTTACTCAGCATAAAAATCCCAAGCCTTTTAAATACAGGACTATTTTTGCCAATTATTGCATTACAATCACACTTTTTGATCCATTTTAGGGTTGGTTTATTGTTTTTCGGCTAACAATTGACTATAATGAATTTTGAGACTATCATACAGAGAAAATTATATTAAAACCAGGGTAGAGAGCATTATCTGAGTTCCTCATCCCTCATAATTTTCCCCCTGTATTGTCTGATATTAATTTGTTTTCTGACTTCATGTTTATCCTGTTTCACGACAGAACTCTTTCACATAATATGAGTATAAATATGAGCATTCCAAGATAAAAAGCTGTCAGTGCATGTTCTGATCTTTGAATTGCCCCATTCATTTAACGACACATACATTTTACATTTCATTTGGAGGACATTTCTTGTATTTTTATCTCACTAATCTTCCTAAAATATAATCAAATTTGTGCAAAAACTCTGGAGAAGTCTTTGTGAAAATGAAGGCTATGTGAATAATTTTAGCAGTATGCTGGACTGACATGAAATAACGGCAATTAATGGCAATTTATTTTGCTCGATTAGGATGTCCATGCAATATAAATACATATAAATTAGGACACTATGGATTTTTGACTGAAGAAAGTGCCCTGTTTCATTTAACATTTAGATACAGATTTTACCAAAACTGTACATGATTTACTCATAAACCATAATAAATTTTTGAATTTTTGTTACTGAAACAGCAGCAACTAAGTTAACTAATTTGTGTCACCATTTGACTTTGAAGAATAATCTGCTTAAGGTATGTTAGAAACTAGTACTGCAAAAATTATCTTTTAAGTGGAAGGTTATCAAAATCTGTTTTCTCCACCATCACCACCTTTGTTGATAATGGTCAGCAGTTTATAGGGACGTAATAAAACTTTTCTAAGATTAAAAAACTAATCTGTTTTTTAAATTTATAAAGGGACATGCTATGCACTGTCTATTTGTGCTTCACATTTATTTCCATTCATCATGTGTCTGTGGTTGTAAACATCACTTTTCAGATGGAATAAAATGAAATTCCATATTTTGGGCCAAGTCCACATGTAGCGTGTTAAGATATGTTCCAAAACTCATGAGTCAAATTTCATTTTCATCCACTATTTCAATACATACATACACATTAACTATTAATTTGGAAAGTTAAGATCCCTTTCCAAACAAATAATTTTCTTGAAGTTGTTCATAGTCAAAACTTTTTTAGAGGTAAAAATATTTACCAGTAACATAAATGTCTCGAGAACATGACCTCTATTTTGTCTCATAAGTGAAAAATTTTCAACAGTTTCTGTTTCATTTTGTAAAAATTAAAATATTTTACCTAAATTCACATGTTCAGTGTATTTAGATAAACTGAGAGCACTACAGCAGCACATGAGTAAAATAGTTATCAGGTATTAGTTCAGTTTTGCCCTGTTTTCCAGAATCTAGCCGGTGCTATTTTAATCCACACGTGAATATGCACATGCACTCAAACAACTGTGTAAGTGTTCCTAATTATAATCATACAGCCTTTGCTTAACAGTTCTTCTGTATGTTTAATAGTAGGTATTAAGTCTGAAAGAGAAATGCCTTTTGTTTAATAAAACCTTGGTAAAGCAGGTTGTCTGAAAAATCAGTCCAATTTCTCCTCATGATCTACAGAGGGAAGGGAGAAATATCTAAAGGAGGCTTAAATTGCTTTAAATTCCATAGCTGCTTTGGTATTAAGGCAATCAAATGTGAAATATCAATATATCTACACAGCATGAATGACTGTATCATCTTATTCTGATGAATAGTAGAAGCAGAAATGAGCAATGTGAAAAAGAAAAACATTAACTGAAAACCGACTACATACAGTGCTATAGTGATATTAAATATCATCAAGCAAGATGATATCGTACTGTGTGTCTGATTTTAATGAAAAAAATGAAGTTAGAACCACATCAATTCAGTTTAATTAATTTAAAAACATAGATGTCTCAATTCCTAGAAATTAGAGATCATTCATTCTGTTTCAGTTACAGAGAGGAAAATGTGCCAAACTTCTGCACATAATAGTACAATTTTTTATGCTAGTTTTGCTCTTCTATGTAGCCCCTTTCAGTCACTGAGTTTCACAGATTCCTACCAAGTCAGATCGAGGGGAATCCATACTTACCCTACACTGGGTAACACAAAACAGCAGAAAAGAGGGAAATCTGAATAAATATTGAATTGAAATAATTTAAAACTTCTCTTACTGTACCTGTCAGTCAGGGTTGGGGTTTTTTTCTGACTATTTTTTTCATTCAGTAATGAAGGAGATTTCAGAGGACGTGGCTTTTTAGTTATTGCATGACAGTGAATCTGCTTGATTCTTGAGCATTGTGGTACAGCTCTGTCTTCTTTTTCAGGTTTATAAACTTCTTGAATCACCAAACCAGCAAATACTTAAACATGTTATTCATTGGACCCAAGACATACAATATTACAGAATTAATGTTTGCTATTGGCAAACGAATTAAATGTTGAGGTTTCACTGTAAGTGTTAGAGGAATGGACCTTCTCCCTCTCTCTGTTTAGAAACCATAAAATATCTAATAAACTGTAGATTTCATACATAGTGATTTGAAGAAGCCATTAATTTCCAGTGTGTTACAATACAATCCAACAGAAAAAGAGAAGAAATAAAAACAAAAGCAAAACCCAAACCAGACACCTTCCATTTATTTTAATGTATATTCCATGAACATCCTCTTCCCAACAGTAATGAAATAAACTGTGCAAATCACTTTTTTAAAAGTATGTGACATACAAAAACTCAAAGGATAAAACGTGCAGTACAACCATTCATTTTAGGTACGATTGTACCATTGGCAAACTTACTAACTCATTGACTATTAATGATTGTAGTTATTTTTCCTAAACTCTTGTCCTTACAGGTTCATTACTGACATTTAAGACAGAGAATGCCCCATGCCTATTTAATGTAGAAATCAGTTTCACAAAGAGATATAAAATAGATCTATTCTATTAGCAGCACTGTATGAAATATGGGTTGATCTATATTCCATAGCAGTAGTGTACCAGTGCACACTGGAAATTGTATTTTATTACTAATGGCATGGTTATAAATCAAAAGTTGCATGATGTGTCTACTCTCTGTTCATGTGTTCTCCAGAAGCTGGCATAGTGGTGACTCATACCCTGTTACTCTTTAGGGATTTGATATTAAATTACTCAGACTTAATAGATAGATAGGTAGGGAATTAGATCATAAAATGGGTTTGAATAAGTTCTAGTTCATACATCTATGTCGGAAGATCTACAAGTAGTTGTAAGAGTTGACGGCATTCTGGTTACTTCTTAGCTGTGGATGAAGTCTGTTCAGAATAGTGTCTGAAAACAGTCGATTTGCTATTCCTAAGCAAGGCGGTTCAAAACTCCTACACAGGGATTTTCAGAGGGAACAAAAAAAGCTCGTCATTATTTGGAAGTAAAATTTGTAAGATCATATTGCTTAATGTGCAATTGTGAATTTTTGTGTGGAGACTTTATCTGCATTGCAGTATAACAACAGTTACTTGATTTGGTATTCGTGCCTGGTGGTTCCTTACATTTCACTTGCATTATATTTCTCTGACGTGATTTTTCTGTCAGATAGTCTACATGGGCTGGGCAGAAGAACGGGAACAAGACTCCCTTCAGGATCGAATGTACACACCAAAGTTTCTAGCACTGAGGGGATCTTCCCTGTATAAATTTATAGCACCTCCAGTAAGTATATTGCTCATGCTTAATGGGAATAAATGTTATTAAAGAAAATAATTTCATATAATATGTACAAGACTTTCACAATGAGATATCACTCTTTGAGCTAACATGATTGCAACTGACAGCACTGAAAAATTACAGGGTATGTGGTATAAAAGTGATAGAAAATAGCTGTTCATTGGATGGCTAGGCATCTAACAAGAATTTCTTTTTCCCCACTTACCTGAACACTTAGAAAAATATAAGAGAAATCTACTTGTGCTAAAAGAGGACTTTTCATTTTCCTTTGGAAGAGAGAACAAGCCTGAAGCAAGATGGTTAGTTTTAAACTGAACTATCATTCTAGTCAAAGTGCTGAGATTTGGGGAAATATCAAAGCTTTTTTGCAAGCTGTGGAAATGGCAATATGTCTGTATTTAGATTTTATAGTCAATGTAACTTTCATGCTACTTGGGAGCACCTAAAGGAAGGTGGGGAAGCAAATGAAATTGTTTTTTGTTAAATATATTAATTGGAATATGACTGGGCAAAATTTTAGCTCTTGTCTCATACTCAGCAATATACCTTCACAGTTTTATGGTCTATCTAAACTACAATAAACTGAGATATCCTCTAGTTAACTTGTAATCCAGTAGCTAAGGAGCCAGTAACAGTCCCATACCAAAAGCAGGGAGAGAGGTGTGGATCCATTTGTTCTGTTTATCAGGTGACCTTTCTGACTGCTGCTAAACCCTGTGTTGCCAGATCCAGGCTGCAGTTGCTTCCTGCCTGAATCATAGAATTGCAGAATCGTAGAATAGTTTGGGTTGGAAGGAAGATTTAAAGGTCACCAAGTACAACCCCTCTGCAATGAGCAGGGACATCTTCAACTAGATCAGGTTGCTCAGAGTCCCATCCAGCCCATCCAATCCCTTGACTGTTTCCAGGGATTTACCACCTCTCTGGGAAATCTGTTCCTGAGGTAGTTCAAAGCCAGCTTGAAAGTCTTTATATCATTCATCAGTCACTATTCACGTTTGTTTAGCAAAGTGTTTAAGAACATGAGAAAAACATGAAGAATGGAAGTAAGTAGGAACTGAAACCTCTGTGTGTTCAGTGTTGGTGCATGAGTTCACTGGTGTAGGAGTTTGTTTCTCCCATGGCTAGTAATGGAATGGGAGTTTGGCTTTTGTTGGTGGGTATTTTGCAGGATCAGATTAAAATATCAGATTATGCTGCCAAGCACCTTAATTCAAAATCAGGTGTCCTGGCTTTGGCAGACCTACCCAAGAATTTGTTGTCTGTCAAATAAAGCCACCTCCGTTCTAGACACTAGATGGAAGCAGAAACAATGCTAAAAGCTCCTGTTCAAAAGAGGAAGATTATTCTTTTGGAAGCACTATGGAAGGAACTGCAAGCCTCTCTACTGAGGATTCAATCATAAATTTCCAGGACTAATATGCTGTTGGTGGGTAAATGGGTAATGGGTGATGATTAATGGGTGTGGGAGGAACATGTTTATAATAGGACTGTGAACCACGCCGGTGCGAGTTAGGACAATTTTGGCAAGCTGCTGCTGTATGAGACAAGCCACCGATCCTTGATAGGTCTTTATAGGTCTTGTTTCAGCTGAGCTGCAAGCACAACGTGATTTTGTTTTGCCAGATTCTGGTTCTTATTCTAAAATAGAAAGATAGTTCAAACTTTGGGAAAAGTATTTTCTCTCCATGGAGTAGGAGGGAAGCAGTGACAAAGATGCTTTTTAAAGAACAGAGGAAGTGTTCCGTAGAGCTACCTTAAAAACATGTAAAGTGTATAATAATTGCACCCTTACATGACCAGCAAAATCTTATCAAAGACTGCAGTAGGCCTTTTAAAAGGACTTCTAAAACCCTATTTTCTGTATGCAAACTTTTACACATACAGTTATATTTGATATTCTGCAGGTATATGTGTTCTTTTCTTCCAGGGATTATGAAAGATTAAGAAGAAAATTTCAGTGCTGCAGTTTCTGAACTTCTATTTAGGAGAAGCATAAAGTGTAGCTATTAGAAGAAAAACAGTTTTAATTACATTTTCAGTGTAAACTCCTTGGATTAAGTTGTTTTCTGAATAAAGATGTGCTGCCAACTTTTCAACCAGATCAAATGAAAGTGTTGCCCTGGTCTCTGCCAAAGTCTAACACATTAGTGAAGCACGTTTTTAAACACTGTATATCAGCAGCCTCCCCCTGCCTCTTTTTTTATCTGATCAATACCACTTCTACTTTCCTTACTCAGATAAATGAACAATTCTAACATAATTTATTTGCATTTTGAAAGCTTTATTTTTTTTTTTTTCCTGTTAATTCCTGGTACATAATTCTCCTTTAGAATTATGAAGTGTGGCAAGTCTGATGAGGTTCAGTTTCTTACAGGTCATAGTTGGAAATCTCAGAGAGAATGGACTTTAATTGAGAAAGAGCTGCTAACACCTTTTCTCTTGCTACTCAAGTTTTTAAATTAAAATATTAAAAGTGAATAGGGCAAGAAATTTCTATGGGTTTCTTAATTCTGCAGTTCCTTTTGTTTTGAACATATCTTTCTATAGAAAGACCTTTGTTTGACCTGAAAAGAAGTATCTTCATAAGTACAAACAAAAGCAGAAAAGTAGGGGAGATGGGGGATCTGTGATATTTTTCCCCAAACATGGAGCGTACAGTAAGCTCTTAGACATAGCTCCGAATAGCTTTGTGCTTCAGCAGCAAGACTATTTTTCCTCATGGGGCAGTAAGATCACCTTGTGTGGCTGGTGTTTTGGGCTCAGTGGAGCTGTAGCAAGATTCCTCTCCTCATTTCTCTGTTCATGGTAAGAAAGTTAATTTCTTGTCTGCAGTAGCAAGAGCAGCTTTTTTTTTTTTTTTTTTAATAACTTTCTTTCCCTGACAAAAGCATTTCACATGTTTTTCATCAAGTCTCTGAATAGCATTTTAAAACTCAGGCATAAAGATGGCATATTTCCAATATTTCTTTACTTCCTCATTCTGTATCAAACAATTTATTGGCTCTCAGTATTTAGTCATTCCCTTCCTTAGAAATCTGGTTTAATATCCATACTTCAACCAGACAGTGAAAACAGAGTTTGAGGATGACTGCAAATAAATAAAATTCTAATAGAAGAATAACTATGACCCTGTATTTTTTAACTTTTCATTTCTGACTGTGGTTTTCTCAAAGGACTTTCAGTTACAGTAGTGTTTATAAATAAAAATTAGTTAGGGATAGAATTTTCTCATACAACACCAAAATAATTTTGATAAAGTAAGTTTTATACAAAGGCATCCAAACCCATTGATGCTTCTCAGACATGTTGTGTCTATTAATGATTGGGGCTTTTTTAGATAAAGGATAAATTAGTCTCATATATTTTATTCATATGCCATGGATACCATTTTATGATACATTTTTCAAAGAACTTTATAATCTTAATTTTGAAAACCACATAAACTTCGGTCTTCATCAGCTTCTTCATCTTGATGAACAGTTTTAATGATAGAACTGTCTTCCTTTGGAGCTGGGCCACTGTTCAAAACTTCTTACCATTAAGATTTTTTTTTTTTTTTTCATATATGGCCTCAATTTTCATTCTGTTTTGTGTGTTATCCTGTCTTTTCGGAAAGAAAAGACAGATTCTTCTCTTTCCTTCTTGCAATTTACTTGGAAATTTATTTATAGATTGCTGTGATATCCCCTTGACTCTCCCCTTGCTGAATATATTCATCTATCCCATTTTAGTCTTAATCCTTACCCCTGCACGATTTTATTTAACTCTTTTATCTATGCATTTTTTTGTGTGTAAAATAGTTGCTTAAAATTAATATTATTAAAAGCAATTGTAAAATCCTAAGATAAAGAGAAGAAATGGAAATAGACTATTCAAATCTTTGTTAGAATTTAGGATAATATTAATCTTGGCAAGACAAATATAAAATGTATATTGCTTCTGTTGTTTCTTGTTAGTTTTTTTTCCCTTTATTTCAGTGCATGTAGAATATGTGTCTGGGACTTTGCAAGGCTGGAGATGTTGGGTTTATTGATTTGCAAACAATGTAAGTGACTGGGATCAAATTGTGGCATGCAATTACAAGGAGAAAAGTGGTGAGAAACATGCCTTCTTATAGCCAAGGTTCTGTGAGAGGAATTCAAGGGCTGCATGCTCTCAGGATCTCAGTGCAATCCCCATCAGTTCCCAGTGGAAGCCTCATCATTCAGCATAGAGCAAGCAAAGGCACTGTTGTAAGCACAAGGAGACAGGCAGGATGTCTCCTAAGCATTGCCTGGATGGAACAGTCTGGTAGTTATTGCTCAGAGGCAGTTATTGCTCTGAGGCAGTGCTTGGTCTTTCTGTAGATATTATATTGCATGTAAATGGTTTAGGGATAGATTATTTTTTTTTTAAATAAACTTAGTTTTTGAAAAAAAAAATAAAATAAAATAATTTCTTTTCCTGTTTGTTTGTTGTTGTTTTTTCCAAGGTCACAACCTGGGATTGGACACGAGCTGAGAAAACATTTTCAGTTTATGAGATAATGTGCAAAATTCTCAAGGTATGATGAGAAAGTATAAAATAAATTACCACTTTGTCAGACCAGTTGACAAGCCAGAGCATAAGAATGCAACTGGAAACTGCATGTGATCACCTTGCAGAAATAGATCCATTTTTAAATTTTTTTCCCTTTGAAGTCATTAGCAGTTCTGGTGTCAGTAGATACAGAGACAAACTAGGAGGCATGGCAAAATTTGACATAAACTGATTTTGACTAGGAAACTGCTTTATTTCTCCATGATGCTATATAGGATTTATAACTTTAATATCACACTTAACCAGTATAACATTTATTTTTCTAACTGAGGAGCTAAAGAAATAGTGATCAATTTGGTTGCTTTCAAATATGTTGATGCATCTGAGAGTGGCTGCAATGCAAGATTTCACTAAAACTGAGATCAGAGTCCTTAAAATATGCAATACCATTCTGAAAACTCTTGTCTAATTTTTTTACCAATTTATTCAGTTTACATAAACTGTAATAAACGGGAAGAGAGAATGAAATATGCTTAGAAAGTTAAAGCTACGAGTAGCAAATTAAATAGGGCCATTACTGTGCATTGTATTAGTCCTGAATTAATACAGAATTAGTATGTGTGGTCTTCTCTCTGTTTCAAAAATAGTCAAAAACAGTTTTCCAGATGCCTAGAATTTCTCAATTTAAAATATGAGGAGAGGAAAGGGGATTAAAGAGAGATGAAAAAAATTGTCTCTTTCCATTCATCAGAAGTGCTTTCCTGTTGGCTTGGGGGTTTTGGGTTCAAAATTATGTAAAAGGTAATTTGGTCTTTTCTGGTTTCATCTAGGCAGAGATAGACTAGTATATTAAAAAAAAAAAAAAGTATGAAAAATTGTATTTTTGTGAAGTGTTTTTCATTGGGAAAACCTTATACTGACATACATGGTACATTTCTTATTTTTTGTATGTCACATAGGTGCACTATGCTTTTCTTAGGAAGGCAGATTACAGATGGAACAGCTCAATAAAATTCAGAAACTTTCATCTTCCACTACAAAAATAAGAAACCAAATTTTTAGTCTCAAAAAGCCTGTCTGCTAGCAATCTAGAACAGAAAGGTGAGAGGAGTTCTTTTGCTGATACATTGGCTGTGGGGTCTGGAGACTTCATCAAGAAGTAGAACATCCCAAATACAACACATCCCATTGCTGTGGTATGTCCTTTAACTACCAAGTGTGTGCAAACATTGACTCTTTAGTAGTGGTCCTGTAGGGAGAGAATTAACAGGAAAAGATAGTCACTCTGTGAAGACATGGCACTGAGGGTATAATATGAACAATGCTCTTAGAGCAGTCAGGCTTTGAGAGAGATGAAGAATCTCAGTTGTGACATGCACATTTCATTTTTATTTCTGGTAACCTCTAATCACCTCAGGCCTTGAGCACAGAAAAGACTAAGCACTAAGGTAGTTCTCTGAGAAGTGAACCCATTGAAGCCAGGGTGACTCTTCCCTGTGACTTATCCAAAGATTTTATTATACTGTTTAAATAGAAATTTACAGAATGTATGCTATATAGTTTTCTATAATCTAAAGGTCCTTTTTTTAATTTCTTTTACCATTTTCCTTTGTTGATATTCTTCTCATTCACTCATTTTTAGCCATTTTTCTTTTTTCCCCTTCTCCTTTAACTCCTGTTCTTGTATACCAATGCAGGGATTTTTTTTTTTTTTCTTCTCTTTTTCAGCTGTGTAGCAGTAGTTACAGGAAAAGAGTCAGGCCACAAAGCAGTAAAACCTAAGCTAATACTTTCCTGTCACTGTTGTGTGGAAGCACTGAAAAGAGTATAAAGATACTCTTTTTTTCTTATCATCTAGCTCTGCAAACTGTCTGGGAAGAGGTGTAGATCCTCCATTCTCATTCTGTATTAACAGAGGATGTCCCAGTAGAGAGGCAATTCCAGTTTAAGTGATATAGAAATATCATTTATGGGGGTTTTTAACACATTATTTATATTCAGTTATTCCTTTATTGTCTGTAAACACGGTCATACTTAGAGTGTTGAAATGTTTCAAACAGGTTCTTTAGCAGACTGAAAACTGTAAATAATAAAAAATGGAAGTAGAAAAATCATTGCAATGAAATTACAGCTTCTGACATTGGAGTATTAATCTTCACCATATTCTAGTTTTTCTACTGCAGGTACTATAGGACTTAACCATGGTTTCACTAAATATAAAAGCAAGTAAAACGAAGAAAAACAGCTTCCCATTACTACTACACTGAACCTCTCTGAACCTCTGTAGAGACTCAAGGTTTTGTTCAGCTTTTATGCCAGTGTCATAAATGTCTCCATTTTAGCCGTACATGTTTCTAGCACATTTGCTGAAGCAGAGGCAACTTTAAAAAAGTTACTCTGGTGCTTTGTGATCACCTTCAAACCTCTTCTATAATACGTCATGTACTACTTTCATTATACATTTTCCTTGGAAAATGAGTTGAATGGCAAATGGTCAGGCTAACAGGGTTTGAAGTGATTATATTCTTAAAGGTTGATAGAAAACATGACAGCTCAGGAAACTGAATGAAAAAGAATGAAGAAAAGAAACATGCGCTCTTTTACACAGAGTGTTCCCTCTCCTGTACTTCCTGTTCTTCTGTGGCAGAGTCTGAGTTCATGTATTCTTTTCAGAAAAATTGAGAAGATAGAATTATTCTGTGTTTCGACTTGAGACGAGAAATCACATGTCATAGGACAGATATAAATCCAGGAAGACAGCAATGCCTGTTTGCAGGATGGTATAATCAGTTAGTGTCTCTTAAGTAGCTTTATTTCCATATTCTTGGCTAAACTCAAATTGTTCAGTCTAGACTTTGCTAGGACTAAATATCATAGAACATTTCCAGATGGTGGAACACCATCATCTATTATTATCTAATTTATTATATTATCTAAATTTTTTTTAGAATGATCACTACAATGGATTTGGAGCCAAATGGTCCATCTATCACTATCTCAGACAATTCCTGGTATAGCTTGAGAGTTATCATGGGCAAAGGAGCATTTGTAATGAGCCACCGCATGTGAGCACCGTTTTAGGGGTATAACGAGTTTCATAGTATGGGTGTGGTCTGCTTCTAGCCAGATCACTGTAGTGTCAACAAACAGTCCCATACTGCTTAATCTGTTAGTATAAATACAGCTTCTGTGGCCAATATTCATTTAAAGTGAAGGACTTGCATGTGGTCTGTGCTAAGGTTTGTACAGATTTGCCCAGGAGTGAGAAGTAGTGCTTTCGAATTAATGTTTCCAAAGCATCTTTCCTTCTATATTGTTCAGGCTGTTGGGTGTCCTGAGAAGAAGATTTATCATCTGCATGCAAGACTAAGTGTATTGGTCAGGACTGCTGCAACACCTCTGTAGAGCCAGAAAGAGCATGGGTCTTGGGTCATGTTGTCTTTGTCAAAGTGAATTACTAAATGTTATCACGTCACTTACTAATCAAAATATATCTGCATTACATGGTTTGCTTAGATTAGAATGAGACGTTTCGAATGCTTTTTCCATAGTTGGACTTACAATCATTAGAAACTGGGATGCAACTTTCATCCAAGCATGCTGGTGTTTTCTCCTGCTGTATACTGGCAACTTCAATAACTGTCCCTCATGCCTCAAGGACAGGACTTTACTAAATCTGTCTGAAAGCATTTTTTATCTTTATTCCACTCATTAATTCTGATTAAAATTCTGATGAACGTCACAAGAACAGTTTTGATTAGAGAGATTTAGTACCTTAGGTTAGTCTTTTAAAACAGAATTGTAATTGTCACCAGTTAGAGAGATTTCTCTAAGTTTCTCTTCATGACAGAAGTGCTACAGTGGAGAATATAAACTGCCAGATCATACTGAATGCACATTAATATTTCAGGGTTTCAGTATGAGAGAATACAACCACTTCTGGTGACAGTAAAAATATTCAAACACTAAATAAATATTCATGTCCACACCCAGCAGAGAACTTCACTAATTTGTCAAGAAGGGAATCTAATCCAAACATGTTAAATAAAACACAGAGCTCGGCTGCCACCATGGCCAGTGTTTTCTTCATAGTCGTCTGCATGTGTGGAGTGTTTTCTCCTTTATCATTCACTCCAAAGGCTGTGATTCTTCTCACGAATGATATAGGAAACTGGGAGGACATTTTCAACTTTTAGTTCTCTCAGCCTCAAGCACCTAAAAGGCAGGATCTTCTGCACATTAATCAGAGATGCCAGAGATTATTATGTGATTTATAACTAGAAGATTTATAGATATAGTAGTTCTCTAGTAAATCACTATTTTGTTGTTACTATATTTTTTTTTCTCCCCCCTCCCTCAGATTACAAGGAAAAGAAAGAGGAGGAGACATGCTCTTAGCAAGGCAATAAGTCACTATTCTTAGTATCATTAGGACCTTCTAAATAATCAGGAAGACCATTAAAATTTGAAGAATAAAAGTGGATTTTAAAAAGCTCTCTTCTGACTGGTTGAAAAATTGACATAAATTCAGCAAAAGACCACTGATCCCCTATTTCAGTATTTACAATTTTAAATAGTAAAATGTATAAAAACCCACCAGATCCTGACAATCACATTCATACACTACCAAAACAATACTGGATTATAAAAAAGGTTCTGTAGAAAATTTTCAAAATACCATTTTAAAATGCATATCTCAAGTATAATGCTCTTCACTATAAAGATTTTTGGGTTGTATTAATAATTTTTGACATAAAAGTAGATAAAAGCAGGCCGAGTACAAAAATCACAGTTTGATTACATTTGATTAAATTATTCATCATGAAGTAAACACCAGTGGGCTATGTTTGAGGTAAAAGGCACATTTATGGAGATGCAAATAACTTAAGACCTGGGGGAGTAAATACAAAAATTGATAAGCATATGAAGTAATTTATTAAAAATTCAATAGGTCTGTTAATTATGGGGTGGAGGTACCTTAATAGAGAGAAAATACAAGGCACTGAAGAATTCTTTAACACTAAA